ATATCCCTGGTATGTGCTGAGAATTACTGCCCTTGATCTGAATGATTTTATTTATAGACCACGATAACTTATTTTACTGCCAAGGAGCCATTTCTTATATGACGTGGTTCCTAGTCGATAATATTTTCCATCATGGCCTAGAGTACTTCAGTCACGTTCACTGAAAACGTTTAACTTCTGATAACATGGAGTCGTGAATCTGGCGGATTTCTGTAAATGAATGCTCGATATCGTTTGTTTATAAAATTGGCGAACATTTGAGGAAACCACTGCGGAGAACTGAGTGATATTGCCTGAGAATTCACAGACAGTTTTTTAGAAAGCAGCGTCGAAATCGCATTTGACGATTCCCATTGAGCGACTGCACTTTCATCGTTGGTTACAATTTGCATGTACCGATGGTATAGCTGAGCATCCCGTCTTCCCACTCATCCTCCAAAATCTGGCAATTCATCTGTATTCCAGAAAAACATATCTTGCGTATGTGCTTTCATATATTTCTATCTGAAATATATACAGGTCTAGTTATCTGTAGGGGAGTCGGAAATTGGCTCATTTTTCCCGTAATTCCAGCAATTTATGACAGTTTGGAGGCAGGTATATCCACAGCGTTCTCGGCCTATTTGTACGAATGATATTTCGAGTGGAGTAAACCTCATTTGTAAGGGTGTGAAATTCAGTAGAAATACCGTACAATTCAGTGGAAGGAAAAAAGCTCAGTGAAAACAACTTAAGGATTTTCAATAACTTATGATTCTCAGGCATTCTGGGGTTGTTACAGCAGCCATGGAATACGATTGGAATACGATTAAAAGTCGCATTCTTCGAATATTTATTTTTCTTTTTTTTTATTTTTCCTTCCGGAGAGACATTCGTTTACATTTCTATGTCTGATGAGGCTCAAAAAAGCTTATTTCTGAACGGAACGCTTTCTTTGCAGAGCTAAAGTGTGCTACGGTGAGAAATATCTGAGAAATCCAGTTAGTCAGGCGCTATTCGAACAACTGCGCACACGGATTCTTCCACAGACTGAACATCGCAGTGCAAAAAATGTTGCTCTTTTTTATAAGGTATAAGTTCAGAATGTCGTTGTCTGGCTTAATAAAACTTTAAGTAAAGCTTTTTTCTGAGCAAAAAGAAATGTGAAAAGCTGGGCAAAAAAATTAGAATATGAGCTGGAAATGTTACAATCAGCCGAGAAATGATAAATTGTTCTAAAAAAAGAAAAAATGGGCCCAAAAAAAGATAAATACGATTTAAAGGCATTTGAAAAAACATGAAATAGTGACAAGCAGAAGGCAATTTTCTAGTTTTTGAGATGTTCATGAGTCAGTGTGCAATGTGTATTTACCCTGCTCCAGTCATCAGTGCCCTTGGTATGCGAATTTTTCTCGCATCTAATTTTTGTATTTGGATAATAGCAGAACACCAACAATACCAAGGGCACTGATCATTCCGTTTGAGTATTCTATGCTGGTGATGTTGCTGGGATGTTCCCACATGCCTGGCACAGCTCTGCCAAACCCTTCGGTCCTGAACTACATACGTCCAGAATGAACTACATATCTCCAGAATGAACTACATACCTCCAGAATTCCCGAGGGTCGTTTACTTTTCCACGGACACCATTCAGTAATACACGTCGTCCACCGGTTTTGGCAACGCAAGCAAGATCCGAATAAAAATAAAATAAAAATTTTTTAATGTG